ACAGCAGCGGACTGGGGACGCCTGAGTTGAAACCATCCCTGGGTCCCACAGGAAGTTGGCTTGTCCTCTGTGTGACCACAGGATGGCCTCTGAAGGATCACCTGTGCTCTTCTGCTGGGTGAGTTGTAGCATTGCAAGGACATGCTGGCCGCAGGGTCCTCCCCAGCAAGGGCTCCTCCTCATAGTGCAGCTCCTGTCGGGTGGGGCAGGCAGTGATATTTCCGTTCTATGAAAGGGGAAACCCGGGCCCAGGGAGGTCAGGTGCCTTCCTAAGATTTCACAGTTAGTCATGATTTGACTTCTGTTTTTTTCCATTCCTGGTCTCTAAATTTTCCCTCTTGAAGCCGGGTGTGGTGGCACATGCTGTAATCCCAGAGGCTCAGGAGGCTGGGACAGGAGGATCACAAGCTCAAAGCCAGCCTCAGCAATTTTTCGAGGCCCTGAGGAACTCAGCAAGACCCTGTCTCAAAATAAAATATAAAAAAGGCTAGAGATGTGGCTCAGTGGTTAAGCACGTAGTACCCAAACCAACCAAACAAAAAATAATTAAAATAAAATTCTCTTTCTCTAGAGAATTCCTTGTTGTTTTATCTTTCCTAGGAAGATCTTCACCGTTATATTTTGGGGCCCTTAGCAAGAAGGGCTGGGCCTTGTCCTGTGGCATCCTGCAGCTTGAGGCATGAGGCTGCCACCTCAGGTAGGGCTATTTGGAGGTGGATGGGGGGGATCTTGGCAATGCAGCTTTCATCCAGAATCTCAGCGGCCCAGGCCTGGAGGGAAGAGAGGGAACAAGGAGTACAGACACCTGGACAAATGGTGTTCTGGGCAGAGGGAACAGACTGGCAGACTGGGCAATGGCCCTGAGGACCGGTCAGCCTGCAAGGCCCCTGGAGGCCAGGACAGCAGAGCAGGTGAGTGAGGGGGAATCACAGGACTTGAGCTGCCCAGTATGGCTCCCTTGTTCCTGGAGATGTGTCCACTGAGGAAAACTTGGCAAAGGCTGCTCTGCAGGGACAGTGGTGCAGTGGCCAGAGCTGACTTGGCCCATGGCTATGGGCCGTGGGTTCTGAGATCCCCACCCATGATTCCCTGAGTCCTCTTCTCTCCTCGGCTCTAAAATGTACTTCCTTTCAACTATTGTACCCGTCTCTATGACATTTGGAGTTGAAATTGAAAAATACCTAACATGTATCCACTTAAAAATCAGATCCCAAAGGCCTGCCAAGGAAGCCTCCTCCATGGGGTTTAGAACGGTGACAGCCACTGAGTAAAGGGTCTGCCTCCCTTGCTGCCTGCCCTCTGATTTGAAGGTGAAGATACCCAATGGTTTCTCAGTGTCTCCAGGAATCTTAGACATTGGTCTTTTCGAAGGCTTGGGGTGTTTGTGTGTCAGTTGCTGCCCGAAGGCAATGCTGACATGTTAGAATAATTCATCTTTTTCAAACATTTTGTCTTTTTTTATTTTTATCTTTTTGTAGTTGTAGATGGACAGAATGCCTTTATTTTTTTTTATTTTTATGTGGCACTAAGGATTGAACTCGGTGCCTCACACATGCAGGCAAGCACTCTGCCTCTGAGCTACAGCCCTAACCCATTTTGTTTTCTTAACCCAAGACTTAACTGGATCCAAAATCTTCCCCCTCCTTATTTCTTATGTGCAGAGAGCAGCAGTGCTCACCTTCTTGGATGCTGCTGGGTGCTGTGAACTGGGCCCTCCAGGGGGCCACTCTGGCAACACTGGCTTTTGTTTGCAGAGTGGAGAGGGCCAGATGAGAGCAGGGGGAAACAGAAGAGCCACCATGGGCCTGTGGGATGGGGAGAGCTCAGCGACAAGCATGGGATCTGAAGGGAGGCACAAGATGTTCAAGATGAGGTTCAGGAGTTTTGCTGTATGGGCTTGGTACAAATCCTCTTCCCTTCCCCCAAGGACATCTCCAGTGAAAGATCCCTTTTTCTCAGGAGCATGGTAGAGTTTGAATAATTTTCAAAGTGTTAAAGGTTGAGGTAGGTGTGGGGCTTCAGTCGGAACTGCCTGTGGGACTTGGCTACACCCAAGACTCGTGTTTTCTGGAAGATTTTGGAAATTTCCAGAGATGGGAGTGTGTGTATGAATGTGCATGCACATAAGTCCCAGAAAAGGTTTCAAAAACAAGGACACCTTTGTCTCCCGGAGTGGCCTACAGAGATGAGAGAAAATCAGAATTGTTTTCTGTGGCCGGGTCCCTAAACCTCCCACCTTCCCTCCCCGTTTCCTTAGCACTCACAAAATCCACCCTCGGCTTGCTCTGCCTCTCTGTGCCCTGTCTTCTCTGCATTGTTCTTTACCTTCCTGACCCGAGAAGGGTCCTGTCCCAGTAGGCTGTTTCTCTGCTGGTGCACCTCCACTGTGCCAGGTCCACTTGAAGCACAGGGATGGGCAGGGATGGGGTGGCTGGAGTCTTTGGCTTCTCAGGGCAGCCACTGCTGGGTACACCCCGGTGGAGCTGGAGAGAGAGGGGTGCCCTGATGCCACAACCATCCATCCCCCAGGACTCCTGCTATCACCAGCAGCAGTTCTTGCAGTCTAAAGTGTGTTTTTGAACATCAGATCATAAGTCAACAGTAAGTTTATAGGGTCATGACTGGCATTAAAAAAAGAAGATATCAGAGTGTATCACATGTTTAGGGGGGAAGTACTGTTAAGCATATCTGCCTGTGAAATATGCTCCATACTTTTTAAAGCCACTTGTCTGAACAATTCTGTATCTGTGATTTGGGGAAGATGTGTAATGCTGTAGCAAGAGAGAAGCTGTCAGCCAGGGACAGCCCAAGTTGGATGCAGTGGCTGGTGGGTTTTGCATTGGGAGCTATCATTCAAGGCCCTGGTCATCCTATTCCAGGGGAGGCTTGATGGACCAGGTTCATGGGCCAGAAGCCCCTACTACAATAGTGAATGGTGTTTCCTCCTCTCTGAAAACCAAACAGAATATGCCATGCTACATAAATCCCTGTGAGAAATTTCTTTGTTCAGAAATGATGTCGGCTTGTTGTTGGGGGTTGCCATAGGAAACAGGGAACTCTGTCTTGGAAATGCAAGGAGGCAAGCCCTGTGATTGGCTCCCCTTGCTGCCCATCACTGCCGCCCAACCCAACTGCAGCCAGAATCCTGCCGCCCCCCCCACCCCCCCAAAAAAAAGAAAAAGTAGTGGTCTTACTTGGGGCAAAACTTCTTTGTGGTGTTCCCCAATTCCCCAAAGCAGGGGATCCAGGATTGCCCATATGACCGCAGAAGAAAAGGAAAAGGGGGATGGGAGTTGGGAGAGAAAGAGCAGGAGCTGGTCTCACCAGCAGAGGGCTCAACCGCGGGCGTAGCTGAGCCTATTCACTCTGAATGTGGCTTACTCTGCTTGGGAAGAGAATGAAAGGAACCATAGATAATCCCGATGATGGGTCTTTGAGACTTCTGCCTCGTGGCTTTTTTTAAAAGAACTAAAAATAGTCCAGAGTCTTTCCTCATTTGGGTAGAATCTAAAAGCAGTTCCCTTGTAAAACAATGTAAGGTGAGAGGTGGGAGCAGGCACTCGGATTGACTGTGCCCCAGGGGTTGGGGACCTGGGAAGCGTAGGCAAATATGCAGAGGCCTGGGTTCCTAAGCCTTTGATGTCAAGGTCATTGCAACTTCAGGCAGGCAGGAAAGGACTTCCGAGAGAGGAAGGACAGTCCATCCGAGGACCTGTGTTTTATCAGAGGCCCAATTTGCATTAGTGGGATGGGCGAGGCTGGCCTGTCACCTTGGCATGGCTGCTTGGGGAACCTAGCGTCTCTCTTGTTTAAACTAAGAGTGTGCCCTTGTGGCCCGGATGGGGGCGCCACTGGCGTGGCTTAGCCTGGCTAGCAAGGCCTTACTGTCAGTAGCGCAGAACAAGCACCTGTCAGGCTAATGCAGCCAGAGACAAGGTCCAGACTATCTGGGCCTCTGGAACATTACACGGGGCAAGATGTGTGGAGACGTGCTGGACCTTCCTGCCTCCATGCACGTGAGTCACTGGAGAAACAAAAGAAGACTGGCTTAAGCTGGTCACACTGGTGGCAGCACTGGCCTAGGGATCTTTATAAGCTTTCTAGAAAAGTGAGAATGAAAGTCCATGCTGTTTCCTCAGCCTCCACTGGTCAATTCCAGTGATAGCCTGGCTCGTTAGTTGGCTAGGCCCTCACCCAATCCCATCTTGCCAAACCCCACGGGGCAGTACTGGGGGCTTGGTGGTCCTCGACTGTTTCGGGACAGGGGGCCCCTGGAGAAACGGGAGCCCCTGGCCCTCGGGTTGGCCAGGAGAGGAGTGCGAGCGGGGTGGGGAGGCAAGGTGTCCACCAGGGGCTTGGAGCACCCTGTTCACCCTGGACGGAGACCCAGCTTCCTGGGTGTGGGAGAAGCCCAGGGAGCGCCCTCCGGCCAGACCCAAGTCCTGCCGGGCACTGAGGAGCACGGGCTGGAGGGCTGCAGCATCCCGGGCCACTGGGCCGCGCGCAAGTGCGAGGGGCGTGCGTGCGGGGACTGTGGCCCGGAGCCAGGGTGCGCGCGCGCGCGCGCGGGCAGCGTGCCTGTGAGCACGTCCGAGAGCGTCTCCGTGGGCAACTCGCGCGTGGGGGCAGGTGACACGGGACAGGCTCGCGCGTGGGGCGGCGCGGGGGCGCGCGCGGGGCCTGCGCGGCTCCGGACCCGGAAGGCGGGGCGCGACGGGGGCGGGGCGCGCGGCGCCGTTGCTAAGGCGGGCGGCGGCGAGGGCCCTTGGCAACGGGCGGGGGCGCGCGCGCCTGGGCGCGCGCCGGTGGCGGCGGGGATTTCCAGCGCGCGGGAGGAAGTGCCAGCGCGAGGGTGCGTGAGGCGGCGCGGCGCGGCGGCCGCCGCGTGCGCGAGCCGGTCGCGGCGCAGCAGGGACTTTCCAGCCGGCGGCGGCGGCGGCCGCCGGCCCTTCCCCGCCCCCCGCCATGGGGCTGCCCGGGGAGCAAGACGCTGCGGCCGGCGGCGGAGGACGCGCCCGGCGCCCCTGAGCGGCCGGCAGCGGCGCGCCGCGGGGTAAGGGGCGGTGGCGGCGGCGGCGGCGGCTGTCCCCGGCGGGCGGCGGGTCCCGAGCGGCGCAGGCCCTGCCCGCCGCCGCCGCTCGCCGTCCCGGCGCCGCAACTTGGGGAAACTTTGTGCGGAGGCCGCGGCCGGGCCGCGCCGCCTCCGCCGGGCAGCGGGCGCCAGGCCTCTCCGGCCGCGGCGAGGGAGGTGGGTTTCCTTTAAGCCGCTGCTGAAAAGTTTATACTGAGTCATTCCTCTGCAGATGAATGACTGATTCATAATCGGAGCTGCAGAGGCTGGCGGCGGGCGGTTCTGGGATCCGGCGCGGGCAGAATGCGCACACTCCACCTCCGATTAACGCCAAAGGTCAGAGCGGGTCCCGGGCGGGGAGGGAGGAAGGCGAGCCTGCCGGCGCCCGCCCCGGGCGGTGCGCCACGTTCCGCACAGGCCAGCGGTGCGGACGCGGCCCTCGCGTGGGGACCCGGAGAGCGGGTTCCGAGTGGACCGCGCCTTGCCTGAGTCCGGAGCACGAGGGAATGGAGACGAAGTGTTGTGGACGTGCTCTGAAATTTAAGAAGTCGTGGGATAATGGTCCGCTGGACGAGGAACCGATTTCGTTTCGCGTTTTTCGTTCTGAGCCCAGAATCGGTTTTCGGAGCGAGACAGGGGTGTGTGCGTGTGTGTGCGCTGTTGTTGATGCGTGTGCTCGTGGAGTCGTGGAGGCGGCGTGGAGCCGCGCGAGGCCGCCTCTCATTTACATTCACGGCAGGCCCCTGAGCCGGAGCCGGAGCCAGGGCTTTTTTCCTTAGCGTTATCGGTGAATCCCCTCCGGCGAGGGCTGTGGAAATGCCCCTTGCCGAGACCCGGCGAGTGTCTGTGGACGCCGCGTTTGAGGGGCGAGCCGGGCCTCGCGGGGCTAGAACCCCTGGCGCCGGTGCCTGCAGAGGGCCTGGGAAATGCTGCAGCGCCGGCGGGCAGGCAGTCTGGCCCCCGGCGTGCGCGTCATGACTCCAGCGAGAGGAAGTGCTTCTCCCCGGTGCTGGGACCTCACCACGGGGACACTTTAGCATTCGGTGAAAATTATTTGGCCAGAGGAAAATAAGCCTTATCAGTGTGAAAACCGGAAAATGCCCCGCGAGGCGGGAGAGCTCTGTGAGTACGGGCTCAGGACCGACCCCGCAGACCGCCGCGGATTCCAGCGTCACTAGCGAGAATCAGACCTTATGGTGGCTAAGGTTTAAGATGCAAGGTGTCTCACCCAGACGCCATCTGTTCCAGCTGTCACAGCTAGAAAGCCAGGGGCGCAGGGAGAGCTGGCCAGGGAGAATTCCAGCGTTGTTTTTTTTTTTAAGATATATGAATTTTTCTATGACAGGAAAGAAGACCAATTATTTTTCTTTGGATGCTATCTGTTCTTTTTGTAGTTAGTAAGATGGCCTCAGTGAAAGGCTGCAAAGACGTTCCCCTGGAAGCGGGCAGCAGCAGTGGCCAGTTGGTGCAGATACCATCGTGCCATTCCCTTCTCTGATTGTGCCTTGGAGAGAGTCTTTCATGTAATTAAACATCTGAGCTGCTGCTGCTTTTCCCCTGCCTTTGGGCCTTCTCTAAACATCCCTGCTAGACTTTCTTGGATTTTTGAGTGTGCAAATCAAGAAGGACTTTCTCAGGTATTGTCAGGATATGTATGCTAATGAGCTGAAAGATGAGAGTGATTTATCATTCTTTAAAACCCTTTTTTAAGATGCTGAAGCTCTGCTTCAAGAAAGATAAAACTGTCACTGTGGTGTTGTAAGCTGCAGCTAGCTCAGATACACAAAGGAAATTGCATTAGATTTACCCATCTCTATTTTCTCATCTTGTATAGCAAGATTCTTCAAACAGCAAGTGATCTAACCTGTCAAATATTATGCAATAGATGAATTTCCTGTCATTGGTCAGTTCAAGAACTATTAACAGAGAAGTCCCATGACCAGGGACCTCTGCATTTATTCTATGGAATCAGGACCCCTTGCATTCTTTGCAAGTGTTCATAGAGGAAGAAAAATGATTTTTTTTTCAGGTATCTGTCTTCAGATACAGACAGAAACTAGCAAGAGAGCTATAGTAAGAAAGGAGGAGGAGAGGCCAGAGGATTTGGAAGCTGACAAGGGAGAGGTAGCTGAGGCCTGAATGTGGGGGATGATGCTTAGGCTTGGGTAGGAGGAATGGGAGTCAAAGGGTGAGAGATGCCCAGAGGCCAGCAGGCAAGAGGGCAGTAGAGAAAGGTAGAAGATGTTTTTTTTTTTTTTTTTTTGGGGGGGGGGGGGGGGGGGACATCTGTGTAGTCTCCAAGGAGCTAGTGGAAAGAGAAGAAAATTCAGATTCACACAGGAAAAAAAAAAGTAGTGCCTGTGTTATTTCTGTTATTTATAATTAACAACAAATACAAGATGACTTTTTTTTTTTTTTTTTTAAAGAGAGAGGGAGAGAGAGAGAGACAGAGAGAACTTTTAAGATATCTTATTTTTTTTAGTTTTTGGCGGACACAACATCTTTGTTTGTATGTGGTGCTAGGATCGAACCCAGGCCGCACGCATGCCAGGCGAGCGTGCTACCGCTTGAGCCACATCTCCAGTCCAAGGTGACTTTTTTTACTTTGGAAAGCTAGCTTTTATTGACTAAGGTCTGCACCACAGTGTTCCAGGAAAGGGTGTGGGAGGGGAGAAACCAGTGTAGAAAGGAGAAGGTAGGACTTCTGGCACTCAGGGTCAACCCTCCCCTTTTAAGATTTTTTGTTGAAACTTCTTGGTCTGTGGGTTAAGGTGGCAGAGAGTGTGGTGTCATGAATGTGGGCAACGGCTGGCTTCTGCCCTTTCAGGAGTCGGGTGGGATTCCTGTTACATTCTGTGTTCCTTGAGATAAGTGCATCAGCTGGGTCTTGGGAGTCTTTTTTCATTTAAGTAATGCTCAGTTAATGTGCCCAAGTTCCCATGATATTATGGTTACCATGCCAGGATGAGAGAGGCAGGCATGGCGTCTGCCTTCACGGGAGATCTGGGGCATTTTGGCCCCTGTGCATGATGATGGGAGTTGCTAGAGGTCAGCATTTACTGGACTGTGACCCTGGGACAGGAGCCTGGTAGGAAGAGTGAGGAAAAAGGGAATTTCACCATCCTGCATGGAGGAAGCTGTACCCACCAGGAGGAAACTAGAAGACAGCTGTGGTGGCACACACCTGTAATTCTGATTACTCAGGAGGCTGAGGCAGGAGGATTGCAAGTTGGAGGCCAACCTTAGCAACTCAGCAAGACCCTAGCTCAAAAAAAAAAAAAAAAAAAAAAGGACTAGGAAATGTAGCTCAGTGCCCCTGAGTTCAATACCCAGTGCCAAAGAGGAAAAAAAAAAAAAAAGAAAAGAAAAAATGGAAATCTCTTGACTGGTTAGGGTGGTCATAGGGTGGTACTTCTGGGAGTACCATGCAGCTGAGCCCAATGGTGGGAGGTCTCTGGCACAGTGGCTCCATCTGGGCTCACTTGGAGGACCCTGAGGATAGCAATACGAATTTTGCCTCCCCAATTTCTTTTGGTAAGATGTGATCTGATAGTTGTTGTCCTTTTCTTCTTTGCCAGTACATGTGGTGCTGGGGATGCTGTTGGTCATTGGGTTCCCATATGGGATGCTTCCTGTGCTTCCCTCTGGCTCTTGCAAGGCCCTTGACCACAGGAGCTCAAATGGGTCTGGCAGGCTGTTGCTGTGAAGGGCATGATCTGTAGAGGGGAATGGGCAGTGGGTCCCATTACACTGCTGTCCCTACTGTTTTTGTAGGTATAAAATCTCCAAAAGTGGTGGTGGTTTAAGGGGTGTAAAGGTTTAAAAACAAAAAGACCCTTTTAGTGAGAACATTAGGGTAGAGAAAGGAAATCGGGAGGGAGAAGAGGAGGACAGAGGGAGTCCTGGAGAGTGAAATTGATCAAATGATGTTCAGGTCAGAATTTGACACAATGAAAACCACTGTTCTGTATCAAACACACACACACACACACACACACACACACACACACACACACGCGGCCCCTTCTTCCAAACCTGTCTTCCTTGCTAATAAAACCTAAAATCTTAATTCACAAAAAACGAGAAGTCAGGTCTTTCATTTTCTCTCATGGTTTACTTTTTTCTAGGATTTGTTCCATATTGATTTTATTAAAACAATTAAATAGAGGCTATTTGGTAGCTGTTTTTTTTTTTTTTTTTTTTTGGTACCAGGATTAAGCCCAGGGGCACTTAACTACTGAGCCTCATCCCCATCCCTTTTTGATATTTTATTTAGAGACTGGGTCTTGCTGAGTTGCTTAGGACCTTGCCAAGTTGTTGAAGCTGGCAAATGCACCACTGTACCCAGCTACTTGGTAATTTCTTATAAAGCCATTCTATACAGAAAGATTTTAGGATTTGCCGTTTTGATATCCTAATTGGCTATTCAGTTGAAACAATTCTGTGGCAAAACTCAAAAGCATATTTGTTAGAAACTTGATTTCTTTTTTTTTTTAAGTTGTATTTTATTTATTCATTTATTTATCTTTATGTGGTGCTGAGGATCGAACCCAGGGCCTCACACTTGCTAGGCAAGCGCTCTACCACTGAGCCACAACCCTAGCCCATGGAAACTTGATTTCTTTAATTGGAGAGAAAAGATAAACCAAGTAACCAAATAGGATAACAGAATTTTTTTTTTTTTTTATACTGGGGATTGAACCCAGGGGTGTTATACTACTGAGCCAAAATTTATTTTTGTCTTTTGTGACAGGGTCTTGCTAAGTTGCTGAGGGCTTTGATTTTGAATTCAGCCTCCTGAGTTGCTGGGATGACAGGTGTACACCACCATGTCTGGCTCTTTTTCTTTCTCATTTAAAAAAGGACAGCATCTTGCTAAGTTGCCCAAGCTAGCCTGGAACTTGCCATCTTCCTGCCTCAATTCCTAAATAACTGGGATTACAGGCATGCACCACTGCACCCGGTAATAGAATCTTGAGGACAGCAGTGGAGTCTGAGGTGAGATGTGAGTACCCATAAAGTCAGTGTTCCTTCGGCCTGCATACATGTGAGGGGCCGTGGTTCTTGTTAGGCCTCCCCTCTTCCTGACTGCTAGGCACATAGTAAGTAAGGCTTTTTTATTGTTTGCATCTATATGCTGCAAGTTGGGTGTTCCCTGTGCCTTGGGGTCTGTGTCTGGAGTTGGGAAGACCTTGAGGGCCTCCTTTGACTGTTTTCCTGGGGGGGCAAACCTCCTGTCCTGATGTTCTGTTACATGGGGAGGCATGATGGGAAGTTCATTTGCCACTATAACCCTTAGCTTTCCTGGGTGCTTTTCATGACTTAAAAGCTGGAAG